TGCATGAATAATCCACAATTAATTTATCTAGGAAGTATATTATCCAGTTTCAGCAACAGAAGGTTCGAATGGAGACAAAAATAGAACATCCTTTAAGATGATTTTTAAAAGACCAAATTAAAATGGTTACCAAATGAATTACTAAAGAAAAGTAAATTTGATAAATTAGCCATTAAGCAAATTGACCTAGAGCCCAATATCTTAATAAGAGGATAAAGAAGCTGTTTTAGAAAAAAAATTTCCATTTTCTATTAGTTTATTCAGACTGCTTTAACAGAACACCATAGCCTTGGTGACTTAAACAGCAGACACTTATTTTCTAACAGATAGGGAGGCTAGAAGTCTGAAATCAACGTGCATCAGGGTTGGTGCCTGGTGAGATCTCTCTTTCTGGCTTGCAGATAGTAGCTTTCTTACTGTGTCCTCATCATGTGCACAGGAGAGAGAGTGAGCAAGATTCCTGTTCTCATAAGTACACTGATTCTATCAGATTAGGGCTCTACCCTTTTCATCTCATTTAACCTTAATTACTGCCCTAAAGGGTCTTTCTCCAAATACAGTCACTTTGAGTGTTAGGGGTTTAACACATGAACTTGAAAGGGGTACAATTGACTGTAGAATTCCCCCAAATCTTATAAATGACCTAACTATTTCCACAATCACATCACATAAAAGTAATCTCAATGTCAGTGGTTTACAACAGATAATTATTTTTTCTGCTCATGGGTTTGTGGGTAGTTTGGATGAGGTTAATATCAACAGGTATGGATGGGCATGGGTACAGGCTACAGGTTAGGCATATGTCCTAAATATTTCATTTTGGAGCCCAGGATAATAGGGAAAAGGATATGAAAGGCATGTTCTTCTCATAACAATGGCGGAAGTACAAAAGTGCAAAACTCAACCTCATAAACACATTTCAAACTTCTGTTTTCATTATGACTATCAATGTCCCATTAGACAAAACAAGTCACATGATCAAACACAGAAGCAAGGGGCAGAGAAGCCAACTTTGTCAGTCCATGAGGCAAGGACATGAGTATATAATAATACTCTAGCATAGTGAAGAATTAGACGAAATTATTGAGTCAGTCACAGTCTATATACTGGAGCTCTGACTATTTTGGATAAACTTAAATTGGCATTAAAAGACCTTTGTTTTCTGCAATGTTCCATATAGGGTGCAAAGTATAAAGATAGACACTGCATTCACACCAAAAGACGTTGTTTCTCCATGTTGTGTTTTGATCACCACATGTACTCCTTACATTTTAGGTTTCTGAGCCAGTGGACCTGATGCTTTATTTTAGAGTTCAAGTCAATCACTGTTTCATTATGAGCTCTCAGTCAACTGAGAAATATCCACAGGGTTTTGATGTGAATTCTGTATAGTGTTAGGTCTGTTACTGGTGAATGCCCTGGACCCAAAACTAAAATGGTCTTCCCACTATTTTCCCTCCTTATTTGAACTTATCTACCTAATTGTAGGTATAATACCTAGAGAGCTCCCTGCCTTTCTGCTGGTAAAGAATTAATCAAGTGGAGGAAAAGGGTGAGGTTAGATGTGTGTCCAAAACGAAGAGATAGTCTGTGTGAAGGTTTTGAGGCAGGAAACAGAATTATTGACAAAATGGCAGTCATTGAAGTCTCCAGTCAGTTGAAGGACTCAGTATCCAGGAAATTATTCAAGATTAAGACCCCTGGGCAATTTAGAATGCATAAAGTCAGGCCCAGAAGGAACCTGAAAGTTGACCACAAATTTAAAAGGGAAGATTTAACTCCGTTAAGGCACTCATTCATTCAATAAATACTTTTTGAGTGCTGCCTTGTGCCAGGTACGCGGTTCTATGTATTGGGGGTATAACAACAAAATGGCCATGACTCTGCCCATATGACTCTTATATTCATGGTGGGGGCACAAATAATAAACAAAATAAGCAAAGCTAATAGTATGGTAAAAGGTAAAAAATGGTAGGGAGAATAAACAATGCAAAGAAGGTAAGGTGTGGTGTTGGTGGAAGGGCGCCATTTCAGAAAGGATGACATTTGAGTAAAGATCAGGAGGGGAAGAAGATCATCTAGTAAGAGTGTTCTTCATGGAGTGTTACTACCAACGACCAAGACTTATGGTGGCTGAGGGCCAGGAGACAGGGGCTGAAGAATAGTAAGAAAGCCAGTGTGTGGGAGGGTAGAAGATAAAGCCTAGCAGGTGTTGGCATGGGCGTGAGAAGAGAAGAAGAAGGAAAGATCAGAGTGGACCTTAAAGCCACTGGAACACTTCATGTGTTTACTCAGTGAAATGAGGAGTCATTGGAGTGTTTTGAACATAAGACAGACATGGTCTAATTATCTTTTTCAGTGGCAACTGGGTTACTGAGTTTAGTATAGACTGGAGAAGGGAAAGGGATATAACTCTCTGTGATCCTGTGGAAATAATTAGAGTCAGTGGTAAAAGAGGTGGACTTTTCTAACTAACTAAGGAAGCAACTATTCCTAATTAACTGACTTTCCACCAGTGAAATTGCCTGCCCAGCCACCTTGGAGTTACACTCAGCAACTTGCCACTAGTGGTCGCAGCAGATGCCAGGGATTTTGACATTAGGAAATTCCTACATTAAATAAGGTGTCAGATCCTATGACATCCCAGCTTACTTCATATAGTGAGAGTCTATAATTCTATAACATCTATCATCTTGATGTCCCCCAACTAGAATGTAAGCTCCACAAGGGCAGGGAGTTTTGTCTCGTCTATTCTTTGCTCAGTTCTCAGTGTCTAGAACAGTGCTAGCATATAATAGACATTCAACATTTGTTAAATAGACAAATGTCTCTGTTAATCATATTGCAGAACTTTGAACAAGATACTTCTCTGCACCTCACAGAATAAAAAGTTGGACTGGATCAGGTTGGCCAGTTGGTGATCCCCATTTCAAACTGAGTCATTTCTAAAGGGCTTTTCATGAAAGTGCTCTTATGGAGAGGAAAGACTAGGCTAGGTAAGGGCAAAACTGAGAGATGAAGAAATACACAGGTAACCTCTGGTGCTGGGAACCAGGGTCCTCTCTGACCTGCATTGTCCTCTCCTAAAGGCCCAGGACAAGGTAGGACAATTCACTAGAGCTGAGAATACACACACTGAGGCTCTACCCCAGCATGTCACCTTTACTTCAAGCCAGCCAGCTTGGTCAGTGAAGAGTTCATAGCCCCTAAAGCTCTTGTGAGAAAAAGCAAACAACAGCAGAGACTCCACTTAAGGGTATTGAAAATACATTTTAAATTTTGCTTAAGTTTACAATTGACAACATTGATATTTCTTTACATAAATAGTTCTGTTCAGTCATAGCATTACCATGTGTCCCTGATACCCAAGAAGCAGTGGTATCATGTCTTCCTCTGGTTTAGCAGAGCTGCAAACATCAAACAAGATGGCTGATGGGGACAAGATTTGCTAACAGATAAGCCAAGGAAACACGCTGTCATGTTTATTGGATATAGAATCAAATACAAAAATGGTGCCTAGTAGGTTAACTGCGGTAAGCTTATTCTGTACTAAGCTTTATCTCCTTTCAAATGAAGACGACAGTTTTCAATATTAAGAAGGATGCAAATATGTCTTCCATGAAGCCTTTCCTATAAATAACTTTCACTATACATTAAAAGAAGTAGAGTTTAGCTTCCTGGTGACCTAGGATGAAAACAATGACATATTTTAGTTGTTAATTGCCAGGCTCTTGACACCTATTATTTCATTGCTCTTTATATTAGTGCTAAGAGGTAGATACTATTGAAACCCCCAGTTTGCAAATGGAGAAGCAGAGGTGGAGAGAGAGAGTTAAGTGGTCACATAACTAATAGAGGGCAAACACAGCTTTTGAACCCAAGACCCTGCTCTTAATTCAGAAATGCATAACATTGCAGTATATACACAAAAAGGACAATGTCCTTTCCTTTCCAACTAAGTGCTAGAATAATTCACAATTATAATGACAAATAAGCAGTGTCATTATCTCCCCATTATCCCCATTATCTCAGTGTCACAGGAGAGGGTAGAAAAACAGAGCAGATGGGGTTTCTCCCTCCAGACACTGGTATGGGTACCTCCTCCTGTGGTTTTTTTTTTTTTCCAACTATATGGGTTTAGGAAGACTCAGAACATGACCTACATCCTTACCAAAGAGCAGTCACCTTCTTGGAGCCATTTAGCTGCTCAGGCTTGAAGGTCCCTACGGCGCCGGCCGAAGGCATTGGAATCCACATTGGTGGGCACATAATTGTCCTTCACCATGCCCCCAGATCTGCTCAGCAAACCTGCCAGTCGTTGAGTCACACAGGTGGCAGTGTTGCATGTTCTCTTCTGGGCAGTGATGCTGATTTTCAGTATGGAAGAAAGAAGAGAAGGCCATCAGTGAGGGTTGGGAAGAAGCCTGTCCCATGGGACCATCATGGTACTGTTGTTTCTCTGAGAGGCACTAATTAACCTGAAGTGTTTCTCCTAAACATAGTTATCAGAAAATCACAAAGCTTTTAGGAAAAATGCTGTGATCTGTCCCATGGACAGTCCCAGGAGTGTCAGAAAACCCAAAGGGTGTCTGAGCAAGAGTCCATGGAACACAGGGCTATAACAGCTAATCTTTCCTGTATAAATAAGCTAAAAAAACAGCAAAGGCTTATGAGCCAAGAGTGAATAACAGCACCACATCCGGTCCTATTCACAAGTACTATAGAATCCCCATCCCACTCATTTTCTTAGGAAAATGAAAATTCCTGGGTCTTACCTGGAGGAAGAGCAGAGTTTGCAACATCCAGCCCCAGAGATGCTTACCTGCTCTTTAGCACCTGTTCTTGCTGCTTGAGCTGGGCCATGAGACAACTTACCATACTTTGTGTCCAGCTACCCCAGGACTAAGGCTACTTCTAAACATCATGAAGCCTGAGACGTGGGCTAGAACAACCACCACCACAGCTTAGGTCTTTTTTAGAAAAATAGCTTTATTCCCCAAATGACCAGCACATTGAGAAGGAGGACCAAGAAGCTCTGCTATGAAATCCCCAGGAACCTCAGAGGGCTCCCATGCTGTCCAATATCTTCCTGGACGATTCTTTTGGACCTGTGAGTTCTCCTCTCTTTGACCATCTGAGGTTCCAGACATCCTCTGTCACAGAAAAGCCACCAATAACAGCCTAAAAAGCAGCCAGAGAGGAACCACATGCATCAAGTTATAGGAAGGAAGCAAGAAAGGAAACCAGAAAGAAGAGGGGTAGCTTAGTTGGTATCCTGGGGCATGTCAACATGAGGGTGGTGGTCTGTCTCCAAGTCGTTGGCCACATTCCTTTTCTTGCCAGGTGCTCCAACCCCAATTGAAGTTTGGGGGAATGTGTGCAACTTGTGGAGGTCCTGTGTGTACGTGCTCAGCGTGCAGGTACTCAGATTCCCACACCGCTTAGTTCTGGGGCTGTCCGGGCTGCAGGGAAAAACATGCCAGACAGTGCCATGCATAGAGTCTGTTCCAATGGGCAGTCAGCAGAAGGTTAGACTGGGCAGGGGCACTTCAAGCTGGGGGAGGATCTGCAGGCAGGAGGGCAGCTCACACTTCCTCCATTGTGGGAGACCAGGGATGCAGTGGGCCAGGACAGTGGGGGAAGGGCAGCAATGGGGAAGGGTGAGCTTTTCTGGCATTCCACATGCTGTTCAGTCCTTCATGCTTGACAGGGGAGTTCTCAGGTTAGAGGCAGGTCAACATGCCTCTTGCCATATCAATACTGGGGCCAGGCCAGGGGTAGTCTCTTTTCAGGCTCAGGATACACAGGGAAACAGAGCAGGGGAAGGGTTTCTCCCTGGCCCTGTGACATCATGCACATCTCCAAAGAGTCCCAGACCTACCTTAGACTCTGCTGTACCTGTCCCTACCCCCCACAAGGCCTTTACCTTCACCTTGAAAATATAAAATTAAGTCTCCTTGTGGGTGTGAAGGAATGTCATATGTAGATTAACTAAGTAGAGTCAATTTTCTAAAATCTTTTGATTTTAGAGAGTCTGGGTCCATCCCCAGACTTCAGGTTTCCTCTTACCAGTCTTACCTCATCTGGTGCTGGGAGCTGTCCCATTATCACCAGATCAAGTCCCTCAGTAATGATGTCCTAACTACTTTCCTAACTACTTTCAAAAATGGATCTTTTAAATGTGCTCTAAGCCACAGTCTCTCCAGGTGAAATCTGTCTTCAGTGGAGCCTGCAAATAGCATAGCCTGCTGGGCCCCTGACCAGTGTGTTCTCTCCTACCTGCTGGAATCTGCCATCTTCCAAATGTTGGCAGGGGTTGGGGTGGGGGTGCTGGGCAGGGTGCAGAGCCTTACCTGGAGTTCTCTGCCTCTTGTTTCTGCTCCTGTGTCAGCTCCTTGGCCTTCATCTGCACATAGTCCTGCACTAGTGCAGACAGCAGGAGGCGCACTTCCTCCTCACTCAGGGTGGTGGGGTCTGGGCTGCTCTCCAAGGCTGATCTGTGGAGGGGAAGCAGATTCAGTATAGATGCTGACCCCTGCCTGCTTCCTCTCTCCAGATAAGGAGCCTGGCTTCCTGCCTCTGCTTCTTCCCCTGAGGATGTAGCTGCCCCAACTCTCAGTGGACAGGGCTTGAGGCCAGTGCCCTTCCTGGGAGCTAAGCAATGGTGTGACCTCCAAGTAGTGCTGTACTGGAGCCAGTTCTTACAGGCTTATGCATTCTGATGGTTAAATTTTCAGGAATTTTGCAAGCTCAGTGTTAAAAGGAACCACTATTTAAATGATAAAGCTTACAATTAGCATTGTATCTGAAAAGGATTCAGTTTAATAAAGATAATTTATGTATAGGTGATAAATAGATCAATAGAATACAAATTTTATATATATATATATTTTTTTGCGGTACTAGGGCTTGAATTCAGAGCCTTCACCTTGAGCCACTCCACCAGCCCTTTTTTGTGAAGGGTTTTTTTGAGATAGGGTCTTGTGAACTGTTTGCCTGGGGTTGGCCGCAATCCTCCTGATCTCTGCCTTCTGAGTAGCAAGGGTTACAGGCACGAGCAGATTACAAGTCATATTTAACAATAAATGTATTGGCAAACTAGTTAGTAGTTTAGGATGCAACTAATTTCTCAAATCATACTGAGTTGGGTGAATAGATAGGCTGCTGTTATAAAAATCGGTCAGAAAGCAACAAAAGCATTTTGTGAGAGTTAATGAGTTACATGAAATTTATAACACAGAATATTCTTCATCCTATTGCTATTTGTAAATCGTGTGCCCCCATCTTTATATCAGAAAAAGGTTTTAATAAACTTTCTTGTGTATGCCTACCTACACACATATATTTCCCCCAAAAGAGCTGTTTTTTAAACATTCAGCACAATGAACAGTCAGGGCATTGTTTGATCCTGGAGGCAATGGGAGTGGAGTGGTGCTCCTGTTTTCTGGCTACTTACCTTAATGGTACTGCATGGAGACTGCCAGCCTGGTACAGGACCAAGATGCTGAGAGCCAGGAAGGGGGAGAACTTCTTAAAACCCATGACACCTCTCTGCAGAAGAAGAATAACGTCATCTGCACCACTTCAAAGTTCTGTGAGCCCACAGACTTGGCCTCTTTCCTGCTTCTGCCTGCCTCTAACTCCCTGGCTTCATGACTTCAGACTAGTCACTACATTTTTCTTCATCTTTATTTCATTATCTGGAAAGTGGGCTAGTGGGCTGCTGGAAGGTCCAGTGGGCATGCAGCACCATGGTCTGGTAAACTGGGGGTGGGGGTGGGGTGATATTAGTGAGACAGATGGGCAGGGAGAATTCAACCCTAGAGAGTCCTCTGTCAACTACACATGGTCAAGTCTTTCCGTTTTTTCCCTTGGGGTACTGGGGATTGAACCAAGGGCAAGCCTGCTACCATTTGAGCCAAGATCCCAGACCTTTCATTTTTGAGATGGGGGTCTTATTAACTTTGCCTGGGCTGTCCTCTGCCCCTGGAGCTGGGATTACAGACCCTGTGCCACCACCCTGGCTTGTCGGCCAAGTCTTAAGAACACTGTACCAACAGCTACCTCCACCAGGCAACCCAGAGCTGCCTTCCTGGTGTGGGGCTTTTGCACACACCTAAGGATGGGGAGGGAGAGGATAGGTACAGGGCAATAGCTCTGCGGTGGAAATCTCTAAGAAACTGCTCAGCTGCTCCGCCCTCTGGCAACTCAGTTGTCTGCAAGAACCAAGCTTAACTGAGTCCGAAGTTGGAACCCAAGAGGCTTCCCTAACTACCAGGCTTGCAATGTAGGAGTGGCCAGCGGTTCGGTGGTTACGCCTATTTGCCACACTTTCGTGTTGACCCAGCCTCTGTACCAATTTCCCGGGGAACACTAGGTACCGGAGGAGAACCCGCGAATACACCATCTGCAGAAAGCTACTACTACATACTGCGGTGTGCGCTATGCTTGGAGAGCTGGAGCACACAGATTGGCCTAAGCTCGTGCGCAACCGCAGAAAGTGAGACCGGAGCTCTCAGCTACGCATACAGAGCAGAGCAAGACGTTCCCGGACTGATATTGTTCACCTGCAGCGGGAGTCTGGGAAGAATTGTCAATTAACAGAGACTGTGCGACGAAGAAACAGAGAGAGAAATGGACAGAGACTAAGACTGGCAGGGAGAAAGACTAAGAGATAGACTAACGTCGAGAAAGAGGCAGGAGAAGGAGAGGGAAATAGAACGACACACCTGAGCCGGAATTTAGGGGCTCACCTGGCGGTGTTTTGCAGCAGAGGGAGCGGAGGGCGTCCAGCTGGGGCCCGGCGATAGTTGCAGCGACACTTGAGCTGGGTAGTGTCTCTGGTGCCTCCCAGCGCCAACAGCTGTTCTTATTCCCGCCGCGATGGATCGGGAGGGGTCCTTGAGCTCTGGGCAACCAATGGGAGTAGGGGTCTCGTGTCCCAGCCAGACTGCGTCATCCGTATGTTTCCAGAACCTGAAGCATCCAAGCAGGACGGCCCACTTGTATTTGCACTGAGGTCATTGATGGAAGTGTGTGTGTGTGAGTGTGTGTGTGTGTGTGTGCGCGCGTTAAATGAGAAACGCCCTTAAAGTTTCTCGGGAACTTAAAGTGATCGGGAATTTGAGGGCAGTTGACGTCACTATAGATCTTACATCTTCGTCCCAGCTTGGCTTTGAACACTCGTCCACTGCAACCCCAGTTGTTGTTGTCTTGGAGGGCGAGGTCAAAACTACAGGAACTCCTCACTCCCCCAAGCCTGGCTCTAGCCCTCTGTCCAAACCTAGCTCTGAAGGTTAGCATGTCGCAGAATGGATTCAGCTGGTATCACTCTCAGAGGGGTGAGGTTCATAGGAAGCAGGGGATGTAGCTGGAAAAAGAACTTTGTTAGACCCAGCTCCATTGCGGCCACCCTATTCCAGGCTGTGATCACCTGCGAATAACTTTATGGAGCCTCATCTTTGAAATGGGGAACCATAGTCCCATCTTGAAGGAATGTTGTGAGAGGTATCGTAGCGTCTGGCCTTCACTAGGCAGAGATCTAGATGAGTTTTCCTAGTCTACATAGGACAGTTTTTAAGATCTCTATCGATATGTTCTGAATCCCTTCTTTGCTGGACCGCCTGTACTCACATTGAGCGGTCCCAGGGTGCTGTTCGGCTGCACCGCATGTGTGAGGAGGGGTCTGATGCCCAGCTGGGCAAGGTGCAAGAGACAGGTGTTCCAAAAACCTCCATCCAGACCGATAGCTTTCCCCCTTCCTGTCCCGCCATCTATCATCTCTCAGTCCACCTGCCTGAGCCATTTGCACAGCTGCCACTTTGCTTCCAGCTGCTGTTTACCAAGGCGTTTGATTCCGGCCCCGCGCGGCCACTCCCATACTTAGGTCCTCAAACAGAGAGCAGGCAGGCTTGCCAGAGCAGTGAGTCTCTGCCCGTACAGAACATCCCACTCATCCTCACATATGGACTCCTTATGAACATGTGCCCATGCCAGGAAGCTCAGAAACTCAAAGGACTCCCTCCGGCTCACTGGGGTATTCTTAGGGCTTCTCTTTGGAATGTGCACGCACTCTCAAGAATAGGCACGCTCCCTCGCACCCAATTACGCAAGACCGCGACCCTTCTCACACCCAGCCCACGCGTGTGGAGCTCCAGGCTCTCCTAGAAGGACAGATCTCTGGACTAAAGCAGGGTGGGGTGTTAGAAGTTTCTCTGCTTTTCCGGGATGTCTGGGGTCTGAGCACGCAGCGCGCGCTCCGCAGCAGCCTGTCCAGATGCTGCCAGTCCTGTGAACACCGCAGCGGCACTGGGGTCCATGGGTTGGCGGGGGTGGGGTGGGGTGGGGTGAAGGTTGTTGCAAGGCCTCAGGCATCTGGTTTCTCCCAGGCAGAGCAGAAATTAGCCCGTTAGGATGCTTGAATGATCAGAGCCACTGAACTCCAGGTTTCTCCGGGTCCCATCCACATCCCTGTCCTCAGTCCCCAGAAGCTAGGGCATGCCTGCCTCGCGCCACATCTCTTTCTCGCGGGTTGGTGGCTTCCGTGCTAAAGGAAGCAGGTGGGATACCTAACTTCCAAGATGTTTTAAAGTGAGTCTCCTCCTTAACTTCTGGGGCTGCACTTTAGATAGAGAATAAAAACTCAAGGCTGGGACCAGGTGCCTGAGATCCCTTTTCGGCAGGGCGGCCGCTAGACCCGGGACCGGTAGAACTGGCCTGGGAAGACGCCGGCGCGCGTCAAGTTCAGAGTTGGGAAACCCTAGCAGCTTGTGGAGCCGGGCTGAGGACCGCGGGTCTCGGGGAGCTGTGCGCCCTGGAGCCTGCGGCAGGCATTCACTGCCGGGAAACCAGTCCAGGCTTCCAGGCTTTTCATCAGTTAAGTTCCGCACCCTGGCCCAGGTTTTCCCGCAGAGCTAAGAGAGGAGTTACGAAGAGCGAGGTGCGGCCACAAACGGCGTGCACAGCTTGGGACACGCCACTTGGGGGCTGTTGTGGAAGCAATACTTGCGCTCGGGTGCCACATGCTTCTGTGGAAATGATTTCCTCTTTTAACTCCAGACATTTCTAACATATGGACTTCCTGAAATTGTTTGTAAGCAAGTGTGTTCTTGATGTGCATTTTTCTAGGGGGAAAACTGGTTTTTACAGGTGACATAGTTAAGACGTGAATACTCTTAGAAGCAAGATTTCGTGATCAGGTCACTTTGGGAGGTGGGAACTTAGCTCCAGGCTGCAGTGTGTTCCTTCAGCCTTTTGAACAGACACCACGAATTCCTCACTATGAAATCTTCAGCTACAAACCACAGGCCAGAGTCTACACCCAGAGGGCGCTGGTGTAAGTCTCCAGCAATTTCAAGCCTGACCTAAGGGTCAGGCTTCTCTCCAGGAAGATATCTCTCAATCACTCTTTGAATTTGTAGGAAATGCCAGGAGCTGTGCTGGGGCCAAAGGGTGTTTGTTTGTTTTAACCTTTAATTTTCGCAATTAGTAGCATGCAAGGCCGCTTGTAGGCGCTCCGCCAAAGTTGAATGGAATTCATTCATTCTGGCAAATTCACTAGTTGCTCTGTCAAAGCAGAAAATCCGGATCCAGTTAGAGCTAGCTGCGTTCCGCTCGGTTCGAAATGAGGAACGCTAACCATTCAGGCAGATATCTGCCTTTTTATTTGACGCACAATCGGTTGTCTGATGGAAGTTTCCAGAAACGAGATAAGGAATTAAGAGTTTGTCCCAGGTTCATTCTAAAAGCCTAGGGTTTCCTGGTGCTATATGTACCATTTTCCTCTGAAACCATCCTCAATTTTCCTTGTGAAACCAAGGTAGTTTAGACCTCCCCGACACAAATCGCTTAGAAGTTCCCGCCGGCTCTGGAACTTCTCTGAGTTTTAGCACTAAAGACATCACGATCTATGGAAAGTCGCTAAGGAAAATGATGATCTGAAAATAGTAGCTTGACTATTTAGCCCTTGGTTTTACTGTCTTTTTTCATAACTTGTAGATTGGAAATCAGGGGATAGTTTTGAAGCAATCTAGTTGGAAAAAAGATACTTTTACACAACTCCATTAAATTCCACCTGTAAAGTTTATTCTCATTCGTTTAAATCAGATTTCTGTACTCTTTGATTTAAAAATAAAAACGTAAATTAAATCTTGTGGAAAAATTTTACGTGACTTTCCATAAGATTACAAGGCTTCTACCTAATGGCTTACTCTTTTAATTGAGCAAAGGATAAAAAAACAAACAAAAAGAAAAAAAAAAAAGAACAAAAAAGCATTTTCAAATTTTAGAGCTCCAGTTCATGGTGTAGCTTCCTCACCATTTCTGTATGACAGAGAACCCACCACAACAATACCAATTGCAGCAGCAATAATAACAGCAAGGACAATATAAACCCATTCTGTTTATATTATATTTGGAACTGTTGAATTAACCAGAAAATCTCTAGTGAAAATTAATTATAGTGTTTAAAGAAGCTATCCATCACTGAATTTACTGAAGAACACAGGAAGAACTATGACTGCTGAATCATTGTCCTAAGACATTTTTAGAGTGCAGTAAAGACCTTGGTGAATGGAGGAAGGACAGCAAAATTCATAGCAAAGGAGATATGAAAACAACATAAGTGTCCATTGATGGGTGAATAGGTGCTGTAATGTATATATATGATGGGATATTATTCACCCTTAAAAAGAAGGAAATATTGCTATTTGCAACTTATGCTTACTGTTGAAAGCAATAGGGAACAATACTGCATGCACCTGTACTGGGGGCCACAGGAGTAAATTATAAAGATACAGGAAAACAAATACTGCATGGCCTCATTTATATGTGTAAATCTTAAAAAAAATTAGAATTCATAGTATCAAAGAGTAGAATGGTGGTTTCTGGGAGTCAGGGGATGGAAAAAAAGGGAGATGTTGGTCAGTGGGTACAACCTTTTAGCTGTAAAATGAATAAGTTCTGGGGGCCTAAATATATAGCATGGTGACTATAGATAATATTAATCATTAGGTCTTGTATGCTAGAAATTTGCTAAGAGAGTAGATCTCAAATGTTCCCACTACATGCATACACACACAAACACAAACACACAGAGGTAATTATGAAGGGATTGATGTGCTAATTAGCTTCACTGTGGTAGTCATTTCACAATGCATACATGTATCAAAACATCACATAGTACATCTTTTTTTTTTTTAAACCCTTTAATCTGGAAAAAAAAGTTGAAAAACAAACAAAAAAAGATAGCTAAAGCCAGGCGCTTGTGGCTCATGCCTGTAATCCTAGCAACTCAGGAGGCAGAGATCAGGAGGATCATGGTTTGAAGCCAGCCTGGGCAAATAGTTCTGTGAAACCCTATCTTGAAAAACCCTTCACATAAGTAGGGATGGTAGAGAGGCTCAAAGTGAAGGCCCTGAATTCAAGCACCAGTATGGAAAAAAATTAGCTAGAAGTGAAACTTGGTGGAAATTTTGCTGAGGTCTTTGAACAGATGGATCTCTATAAATACTGGAGAGGAGTTCAGTGTTTTATTAACAACCTAGATATAAAATTATATGGAAGATGTTGCATATGCAGTAAGCATGAAAGTTATGTAAAACCATATTGAAATAAAATAAGGAAAATAAAATAAACATTAAAACTACCATCAATTGATTTCCATCTATGCGCCAGGCACTAGGTATTATATTATCTTTCATATTCTCAGCAGTTTAATAAGATTGGTATGTTTACCTTTGTTGTATAGACAAAGGAGTAGCAAGAGTATTTGGTTTGAATTAATTCTATTTTCTAGGCTCCTGTAGAGGATCTAA